TCTGAGTGTGCTGCAAAATTTGGTCCTAGAAAAGAGAGAGGGTTTTTTTGGATTTATAACTACACTTTGATGTGTGGTTCATAATAAGCATTGAATCTGAGTTAGACAGAGATCACCTAAGGATTAGTAAGGAAAATGACACTCCATCTGCAGAAGATCTGAGGAGACTGGCATATCTGTCAAGCCCAATTACAAGTGTGGATGTCCAAGATAAATGATCTATGGATCAGTTTACTTCTGTTCAACTGGATTTGGACATGCAAATTAAAATCAGAACACCAAGGACACTTCTGTGGCTGTGAAATTTGCTACACAACTGGAATCTTTCTTATCTGCAGCACATCAAAAAAAAGAAGCAGCTCATCGTAAGTACTGAATCTTATTTCTCATTGTATGTGAAAAGGGATTCTAAATGCATGCATGAAATGTCTGAGGAGATTGAAAATTATTATATTTGTTTTTTTACAAAACAGACCATGACAATAACTATAGTACAGTTCTGCTCCGTTAATTATGTATAAAAATGGCCCCTTTCTGCACAGATCTGCTTCCTGTATTCTACATATTTGCTTACTTTTGTTACAAAAATAACTTTTACTACTTTTTACGCTAGTTAGCACTACAGCGTTTATACAGTTAAGAGAGCATGAGCTGGATGTATTCCTTCTGATGTAATAGCAACAAAATTACATTCTAATTACTTGGTCAATGAATCACACTTGTGTAACTCCAATGAAGGCGACTGTGTTGCACTGAGGGTATAATTTGGGGACAGTGGTATTGCACAGCTTAAACATGGGCAGAATTTTGTGTGACTAACCTTTATTACTGGTGCAAAAAGGAAAAACCCAGCTTGATTCTTAGGTTATTTCTACATTTTGAGCTGGAGGTGTAAATTCCAACATGAGGAGACATACCTAATCAAGCTAGCATGCTAAAAATAGAACGTAGCTATGGCAAAGTGAGTGGTGGGAGGGACTGGCTGCCCTAAGCAGTTACCTGCCCAAGCTGCTAGGTACATACTAGGGGCAGGCAGTCCCTCCTGCTACTCGCACCGCTGTGGCTACATTCTATTTTTTAGCACACTAGCTTGATTAAAGCTAGCATGTGTATGTCTCCTCAAGCTGGTATTTACACTCACAGCTCAAAGGGTAGACATACCCATAGATCCCAGGATGAATTTGGAGGACTGTCAGTAGGAACTGCCTACATTTTTTAAAAATATTATTTATTTGTATTGCTGCAGCAGCCAGAGGCCTTAATTAACCTGAGTTTAGGAAGAGCCCTGAGCAAGAGGTGACGTGTAAGATTAACCAAAACAGAAATAACCCTGGAAGGCACTGTGACTCAGAGATCACCCCCTCCTTGTTCTTGCAGGGAGTAGCAATTTACAGACAGACTATAATAGCAATCAGTTTCTCCTTCCTCATGCCACACCAGCTCAACTACCTTGGGCAGTGAGCAGAGGTAGTGGAGCCAAGACTGTGCCCATTTCCGGTCCCTCCTTGCCGTCTGGCTCCAGCGAGGGAAAATACAGGTGGGTAACCCATTTGCTCCAATGTGCCAGGACCCAAGGTCCAGCTAGCCAGCATAGGTGTATGCATTTCTCTTACTTTTCTTAATCTCTTTCACTTGCTTGCATGGGCACATAGTCTAAGTAAGACTCTAGTCCTAAGGGTTTAAAAAACATTAGGTGTGAGAGGGAGGAGGATGATCAAAGGAAAACTACTAAATTTAGTAACACCACCTCCCCAAGCAGTGTAGAGAAATGGTAGATGTAATTAGGTTGACACACTATCTGTGTTGACACTCCTTTGCTTACCTAGAGTGTTCCTGGCTTCCAGAAGCCATCCCACAATGTCCACACTGACAGTGCAATTGATACGAGTGCTCCTAGTGAGGACACACACCGCCGACACAAGGACCAAAGTGTGTATGCACAAAAGCAATTTAATAACTGTGGTGGCTTATGCTGATGTAAGTTAGGTCAACATAATTTTGTAGTGTAGACATAGTCTCAGAAAGTCACAGCTAATTACAAGATGGAGGAGACTGTTTAGCAGAAGTAGTTAACACATATTTCAAGGGACCATTCAAGGTGAAGTGGCCCACTAAAATCCCTCCAGTCACAATGATGAAAGGAAGTGGGGGGAAGCAGCTGGGTGGGTTGTTTTTAGTGTCTAGCAAAGTTATGTATTTAAGCTCGTCTTTTCAAAGTGTTGTGCAGGATTCCTTTGAGGATGAGGACTGATATGTCAGAGATAGAGTGATCACTATGTAGTGTTTTTGTTTTTATCTTTTTCCTGTGTGAATTTATTAGAAAGGATAGTGATTGTATGGTTTCACCTACATAGTTGGTATTGGGGCATTTAGTGCACTGAGAAAGGTATACCACCTGTTGTGACAGGTATGTGTAGGACCCATGGATCTTGAAAGGTGTGTGGCAGGGGGTCCATTGTAGCAGTGGAGATATGTCTGCAGGTTTTGCATCTGTTGTTGTGGAAGGTTCTGGTACCACTTTGAGTTGGTGTGTCCTGGTCTGTGGGGAGCTTGCTTCTGATGATGAGCTTGGAGAGGTTGGGGGCTGTTTGAAGTCCAGAAAAGGGGGTTCAGGAAAGATTTCTTTCAGGATGGGGTCCCCATTGAGTATGAGTATGGCTGTTTGATGATACCCGTTATGGGTTCCAGTGTAGGGTGGTAGGTGACAACTAGGGGTGTGGGGTCAGAAGGGGTTTTATTTTATCCAGAGATAACCTGCTTCAGTATAGAAATCAAAACCCCTCCAACCACACACCTCTAGTTAACATACCTGTTAAGTTTATAAGAATGTGTTCAAACGTTTGGCCTTTATGAAATGCTTGTGCATTACATTAGTCTCACTTATTATATCTATATCCAATGTTATAAGGTGATATTTAAGGGCATGTCTTCACTAGCAATGTTAAAGCGCTGTCACAATGTTAAACCACCACACTAGCAATGTTAAGCCATCTCCATGAGGGGAATGGCTCCCAGCGCTGGTGCACTGTCTACATTGGCACTTTACAGCACTGAAACTTGCAGCACTCAGGGGGGTGTTTTTTCACACCCACGAGTGAGAAAGTTACAGCGCTGTAAAGTGCCAGTGTAGACAAGCCATAAGTGTTTGCTTTGTAATGATAAAATTGTTTGCTATGAAGCTGAAAACCCCCACAGTCAGGAGAGAAGCATTGCCAAGTGTGAGATACTAGTTTACTAGTGAGATACTAGGTGTCCTGCCCAACAAAAGAATGTTTATAGACACCAGGCACACCGTTATGGAACATCAATGGACAAAAGACTCCATTGATTGATCACCCCACACCCACACCCATGAAGAGGGGATGTGAACATAACCATCCCATCACAGTTTGAACTCTGGGGGAAGGGAATAAACTCCCTGACCAGAAGGAACTATATCACTATGCTACTTGGAATTTGGAAAGGGCAATATTTCTAAGGTTAAACAACGATCCCCAAGCTGCTCAGCTTCGGTTAGCCCTGAAGGACATATAAAGCTTGCAGATTAGAGCAGCTTCTAGTGCTATTTGGAACCTAAGACTGTAACTCATTTGTGTGTATATGTTTACCTGTTTTAACCTTGTAAATAACTCTTATTTCTTTTTCCTAGTTAATAAACCTTTAGTTAGTTTATTATAGGATTGGCTTCAAAAGTTGTCTTTGGTGTGAGAACTAGGATGCACTTGACATGGGGTAAGTGACTGATCCTTTGGGACTGGGAGTAACCTGAATATTGTTGTGATCTTTGGTGCAAGGTACCATCTATCACAAAGGCTGGTTTTCTTGGGTGGCAAGATAGCCAGAGTGGCCAAGGTAGACTATCTGTGACTTCATCTTAAGGCTATTACAGTGCTTGATTCTTGGTTGGTGAAATCTAATTATAAAACACACAACCAAGAATCAAGTTTAGGGTTTATGCTTTGATTTGTAACAGTCTGCCTGGAGGCTGGCACCCATGTTCATGAGCCACCGAAGACAGGTTGATAGTAGTCACTGCAAGTTATGGCAACAAGATGAAATACTCAAAATTGCCTTACAATCTGGGTCATTTCAAATGCATTAGTACTCCATGCCCTAGATGAACTGAAACTTCAGAGATAATTAAAGCCCCTAATAGGTTGAGTCCAGGTTGATGACATCTTTCATATGTTCTGAATATTATTTTAGTATCCTGTCTCAGTGTTCACTGGCATTATGAATGTTGTACAGCTGCTCTAACAAGGCTTTTAAAAAGTAAATCAAAACAAAATTTTGAATACACGCACACAGAGAAAAGCTTTACATGATTTAGTTTGATAATGACAATTGATGTTTAGGTTTTATTAATGGTATTTGCTGAGGCTGATTACTATCACACTACAATATGCACAATAAGGTCTATGGGCAAATAAAAAATAGTAGAAATATTGTCAACAAAATCAACATTTATCCAGTGAGTTAAGCAATTCATTTTATATATATATTTTATATATACACATACCAAAATTATTAATTCTAATGTCTCAAATTGAGATATATATGTATATACACTAAAATTATACAGTATATACAATGATTCAAATAGCAATTTGAGACATTAGAATTAATAATTCTATTAATAATATATATAATGTATATAATATATATATACTAAAATTACTAATTCTAATGTCTCAAATTGCTATTTGAATATTGTGTATACTGGCAAGCTTCTAGTATATGCATAGCATAACATGGACTACTTTTTGGATTTTATTTAGGATCTTAAGCTTTATATTCAGGTTGTGAGAGATGAGAAAATAGGAGATTGAGACTTACTCAAGCATTCACTTTTAAATAGAGTAATAAACTAGATAACAGATGACCAAACACCAAAACACAAGTTTAGAAGAGGATGCCAATCATATAGACAGCAGGTATAAAGTACATACTTGCATGTTTTGATTTTCAAATATTTGATAAAAGAAATTCCTATTTCTTACCTACATTTCCAGTCATTAGGTATGAATTCTGAAAGTCCATCATCCCCATTCCAACAATGTGTATAAAATCTTCAATCACCTGCATTAGCTCCACTGATCCTGGATAGATCTAATAAATGAAGGTCAGATACACAATAACTGCAAGAGTTTCCCAAACTCTGTAGCATTCACATAAAATACTAACCAAGTCCAATAAAATGAGCTGGGACATTCAAAAGCTAAATTGTACTCATACTGTTTTAATATCCAAACTTTTAAGTTACTGCAAAACAATATGTTTTAGTCTTCAATGCATCATTTATCCCCAGGTAAGATTTCTCTCAATATCATTCGAAATCAGTTTTGCCCAAGAACTGTGGGATGTTTGCCCATAAATTAATGCACCTAACAGAAAAGGATTCAAATTCTTTGCTTTCCACAACTCTCAGTAACAGTTACTGTATTTCAGAGTCATATTCCAGGAACAAATTTAGAACAAATTTTGCTTTCAAATCTGTGCAGGCAACCTCCAACAATGTCGACAGGAGTTGTGTATGTATATGAAGGCAAAATTGGCCCTTAGTTCTTTGCAGTATGGTATCATCTTTGCTGCTTTGAAACAGTATTTAACTATAAAATGCTTTCTTGAATTTGTGTATATTCATTTTTAACATTATTATTAGTCCTAGCACAGAGTTAAAGTAGTAAACTAAAGGCATCCATATTGATCTCTGCAACAGCAGAATTGCAAAATGGTAAATGGCTAGTCCATTTACAAGAAAACATATTTCATTTTCATGGTCCTGAGAGGGCATTAGGACAAAAAATATGTATTCATTATGCAATAGTATGAAGAGATTAGAAACCATTACATTTATTAACAAATTTAGCAGATAAACTGATATCATATACAACATATACATCAGTAAATCATTGAAGGATTATTGTCTGTGTCATGGACAAGGGATACTTTCCTGTAAAATAAACATTTATATATTTTTAAAAAATGGATATCCTGCTGCACACAATACATTTTTTGTCCTCATACATAAGGGATGGTCAAAATACAAAATGTAAATGATATTCACCGTATACTGTTCTGTATTTGGGAATACAGACACTCTCTTTTTTAATACGCATGTGTTGCTTTTGAAGACTACAAGGCCCAACATCTAATACTGCCCCTTCCTATTATTTGATGTGTCTAGCTCCAGAGCCTCTGAGACCAAGGTGGGCAATTGCATGCTGGGTTCTGTAGTGTATGGAAGCCCTTATATTAAAGATTTGGGCAGCAACAACCTACTTTCTTTTATACTAATTAATTGTATAAGATAAGAGGATTTGCTTTGAGCAAACTGCATTTGTACGCTACTTTGGATCCCTGAGATTGTGCTCTGCATTCTTCTTTCTGGTAGAAAGAAAGCCTAATTCACTATCAATAAATTGCTGACTTTCTATCAGAAAACACCTGCAGCAACTCAACATCCTTTTACTAAATTAACTGCCAGCATCAGAAACCATTAATTATGGATTATATAGAACACAAATATACAGCACCCATGTTTAATACATGCCTTTTGTTAAGAGCTGATGTAAAGAGCTTCCTGGAGGACGCCATTTTCGGGCTACAAAAATAATTCTTTATTGGGCCTGCAACACTCAGAAAGTATGCTACATATTCTTTATCACCATCTACTGGCACTTTATGTATTAACTACATACTTTACACATACAAGTATAGAGAGCACCCACGTAACACCTATGGGTCAACGGTTTCTCCTGCGGTTATTTACTGTGAAATTCTAACTGGAGTGAATACTGGCAACAGACCGTTTTGATTGAAATGCACCCTTTGTACTCAGTCCAGGAACATATACGACTTGTTTGGTGTATGGATGATACTGATATTAAAACATTTGTTACCTTACAAGAAGTCATTAGAAAAATAAAATGTAAATCTGCATCACTCAGGGCAGTATTTGCACCTTGCCAGAGGAGATGCTTCCATGCTGATGACACTTGTTAAAAAAATAATGCGTTAATTAAATTTGTGACTGAACTCCTTGGGGGAGAACTGTATGTCTCTTGCTCTGTTTTACCCGTAGTCTGCCATATATTTCATGTTATAGCAGTCTCGGATGATGACATGTTGTTCATTTTAAGAACAGTTTTACTGCAGATTTGACAAAACGCAAAGAAGGTACCAATGTGAGCTTTCTAGAGATAGCTTCAGCACTCTACCCAAGATTTAAGAATATGAAGTGCCTTCCAAAATCTGAGAGGGATGAGGTGTGGAGCATGCTTTCAGAAGTCTTAAAAGAGCAACACTCTGATGTGGAAGCTTCAGAACCCAAAACACCAAACAAGAAAATCAACCTTCTGCTGGTGACATCTGACTCAGATGATGAAAATGAATATGCATCGGTCTGCAGTGCAATAGATTATTACTGAGCAGAGCCCGTCATCAGCATGGACACATGTCCTCTGGAATGGTGGTTGAAGCATCAAGAGACATATGAATTTTTTTGCGCATCTTGCATATAAATATCTTGCGATGCCGGCTACAACAGTATCATGCAAACACCTGTTCTCACTTTCTGGTGACATTGTAAACAAGAAGCAGGCAGCATTATATCCTGGAAATGTAAACAAATTTGTTTGTCTGAGCAATTGGCTGAACAAGAAATAGGACTGATTGGACTTGTAGGCTCTAAAGTTTTACATTGTTTTATTTTCGAATGCAGTTATTTTTTGTACATAATTCTACATTTATAAGTTCAACTTTCATGATAAAGAGATTGCACTATAGTACTTTTTTAGGTGAATTGTAGAATACTATTTATTTTGTTTTTTACAGTGCAAATATTTGTAATAAAAATAAACATAAAGTGAGCATTGCACACTTTGTATTCTGAGTTGTAATTGAAACCAATATATTTGAAAATGTAGAAAACATCCAAAAATATTGGAATAAATTGTATTCTATTATTGTTTAACAGCACGATCAATTGCATGATTAATCACAATTATTTTTTTAATCCCTTGATACCCCTAAAATAAATATATAAATAATAAGGACAGGATTTGGGAGCACTACTGAGAATATTTAGGGCAAAATGTGAAACTCTACTTTGGTAATTTTTGAAAGTAAATAGCAACATAGGCAAATCTTACCTGCTGTGCATCTTCCCATTTCTCTTTGTTCTCTTCATCTAGCAGGTTACTAACTATTTGAAAGAAGTTCTGCAAAATTGAAATAAAAAAAAATCAAAGTAAAATGAAATTCAGAAATATAACAAATGCTCATGACATTAAGTTATAATTAAGAATGATTTTGTATTGTTGTGACAGAGGCCCATTGGCGGTTCACCACTCTGTGTCAGCAACTCTTGTTAGCTGTACATACCGTGTATATCTGTGGAGGTGCTGACTGAGGAAAAGTCAGCCATAGCTGGGAAGAAGGAAGACTGGTGAGAGAAACCATCCTGACCACAGACTGTACCTTGTTAGATTAAGTTTTAGACTTTTAGATGAGTGTTTTTACTTTGATTTGCTTATAACTCTTTCTAACTTTATTCCTTTTACTTGGCATCACTTAACCTATGTCCTATTGTTAATATTTTTGTTTTAATTTTTACTAGAAACCAGCTCAGTGCTGTGTTTAAAGGGAAGGGTGTATTTACACCTGTTAAGTTAATAAGCTGTGATGTAATTTTATTTCTTTAGAGGAACAAACAAACCTTATTATTTCTCTAAACTGTCCAGAAGAGGGCTAGACATGGCACATGGTTTGGGGGAAATTCATGATGGGTGTGTGTTGGGATCACTTTGGTGGTTGTAATCAAGGCTGGTGGAAGCCAAATAGGGGCTGTAGTCAGGCTCGGGTCAGAGCTGCCGAACCAGGAGTATCTAACACCGAGACACTTCAGAGTGTGACCTGGATACTTGTAGGCTGGTTTTGAGCATCCCAAGATGGGAGCTAAAGCAGCAAAGTATTTTAAGGCACCTAGAGTTGCAGAGCAAGTGGTGACTCTTACTGGTCTGGACTGTACCCCAAACCCCGTAACAATTGTCATTACTGATGCATGTTTGTGGTCTATTTCCTGCCACCAGTATAAGAGATCACCCAGACACTACAATAGAACAAAAAAGGGCGGCGTCCACTTTGCAGAGAGGCTTAGACCACAAAATTATTCTGTCCAGCCATATAGTCATGGGCTCAGTATTACTGGTTTAGGTAATAAAAACTAACCAAAATCTTTTCAATATCCATATTTAACCTATTGGTCTCCAAATTTTCCTGTGTCTCTGCATTTTCTGGTTTCAGTCACCACGAGATTGGAAACATAATGAAATACTTTGACCCAGGCTAGTTGTATTTCCATTCCAGCTAAAACCTAGAGTACTGGAAATCTCAGAAGAAAACATCCATATTTCCAGAACCAAACCATTCAGGTTTGCACATCACTCATTAATACTAACAAGGATTCCACGTCACTTGCCATGGAATTTTTAGCGAGATAAGTTTGGGAAACAGAAAAAATAAAATAGACAAAATATCTTTTTCACTATACAGTAATGAATGTACCAGTGGAAAATATTTCCCAAACCAAGGGTTAGAAAATAATGCAGTGGCATTGTTTTATACTTAAACAGTGCAAGATTTTACTTCAGATATAATATGGGCCTAAAAACTTTACAAGAGTCCTTGCACCAAAGCAAAAGCCCCATTAACTGATGAAGAATTTTGCTTGTGAATTTTTGGACTGGGTTCTTTGTGGTGCACAGGATAAGGCAGAATTTGGTGAATCAATTTTACTTTTGATACATATTGCCCAACTCTAAGGCCAAGCCAGTAAATCCACTCTTTCAGCATCAGCACCAGCATTAATACAGTTTCTAAAATAATGCAGGAAGTGAATTTAGCCTTTGCATTCACACAAAAGTTTAATTGTACTGGTATAGTTGAAGTGGTACAATGCTACTAGTGTGGAGACACTTAAACTAGTATAGATTATTATTATTATTATTATTATTATTATTATCAAGTTGCAGTGGGGGAGGTTTAGATTGGATATTAGGAAAAACTTTTTCACTAAGAGGGTGGTGAAACACTGGAATGCGTTACCTAGGGAGGTGGTAGAATCTCCTTCCTTAGAGGTTTTTAAGGTCAGGCTTGACAAAGCCCTGGCTGGGATGATTTAACTGGGAATTGGTCCTGCTTCGAGCAGGGGGTTGGACTAGATGACCTTCTGGGGTCCCTTCCAACCCTGATATTCTATGATTCTATGATTCTATGATTGACATATGGTAATGGACATAAGTTAAACCAGTATAAGCACATTTGTACTAGTATAGTTGTCTCCACGGTAGAGGGTTGCCCTTGTGTGTGTGTGTGAGAGAGAGAGAGAGAGGCACCAAACCAAAAGATCAATTATTCTCTCAGCTCTGCTCCTGAGTACAGTGCAATGGTTGTGAGAGATGGGCCAGTGTTTACTGGGAAGTACTTTGACAGTAAACCACAATATTCTTTTGACTTGTTTTTATCTGGCGGCTGTGATTGCAGAGCCATTGGCCATTATCTTTGAAAACTCGTGGCGAACGGGGGAAGTCCCGGATGACTGGAAAAAGGCTAATGTAGTGCCAATCTTTAAAAAAGGGAAGAAGGAGGATCCTGGGAACTACAGGCCAGTCAGCCTCACTTCAGTCCCTGGAAAAATCATGGAGCAGGTCCTCAAAGAATCAAACCTGAAGAACTTACATGAGAGGAAAGTGATCAGGAACAGTCAGCATGGATTCACCAAGGGAAGGTCATGCCTGACTAATCTAATCGCCTTCTATGATGAGATTACTGGTTCTGTGGATGAAGGGAAAGCAGTGGATGTATTGTTTCTTGACTTTAGCAAAGCTTTTGACACGGTCTCCCACACTATTCTTGTCAGCAAGTTAAAGAAGTATGGGCTGGATGAATGCACTATAAGGTGGGTAGAAAGTTGGCTAGATTGTCGGGCTCAACGGGTAGTGATCAATGGCTCCATGTCTTGTTGGCAGCCGGTGTCAAGTGGAGTGCTCCAGGGGTCGGTCCTGGGGCCGGTTTTGTTCAATATCTTCATCAATGATCTGGAGGATGGTGTGGATTGCACTCTCAGCAAATTTGCGGATGATACTAAACTGAGAGGAGTGGTAGATACACTGGAGGGCAGGGATAGGATACAGAGGGACCTAGACAAATTGGAGGATTGGGCCAAAAGAAATCTGATGAGGTTCAATAAGGATAAGTGCAGGGTCCTGCACTTAGGACGGAAGAACCCAATGCACAGCAACAGACTAGGGACCGAATGGCTAGGCAGCAGTTCTGCGGAAAAGGACCTACGGGTGACAGTGGACGAGAAGCTGGATATGAGTCAGCAGTGTGCCCTTGTTGCCAAGAAGGCCAATGGCATTTTGGGATGTATAAGTAGGGGCATAGCGAGCAGATCGAGGGACGTGATCGTCCCCCTCTATTCGACATTGGTGAGGCCTCATCTGGAGTACTGTGTCCAGTTTTGGGCCCCACACTACAAGAAGGATATGGATAAATTGGAAAGAGTCCAGCGAAGGGCAACAAAAATGATTAGGGGTCTGGATCACATGACTTATGAGGAGAGGCTGAGGGAACTGGGATTGTTTAGTCTGCAGAAGAGAAGAATGAGGGGGGATTTGATAGCTGCTTTCAACTACCTGAGAGGTGGTTCCAGAGAGGATGGTTCTAGACTATTCTCAGTGGTGGAAGAGGACAGGACAAGGAGTAATGGTCTCAAGTTGCGGTGGGGGAGGTTTAGGTTGGATATTAGGAAAAACTTTTTCACTAGGAGGGTGGTGAAACACTGGAATGCGTTGCCTAGGGAGGTGGTGGAATCTCCTTCCTTAGAAGTTTTTAAGGTCAGGCTTGACAAAGCCCTGGCTGGGATGATTTAATTGGGGATTGGTCCTGCTTTGAGCAAGGGGTTGGACTAGATGACCTCCTGAGGTCCCTTCCAACCCTGATATTCTATGATTCTATGATTCTATCTACATTTGAATGGAGGTCTCTGGCAGTAAAATATTGTAATAGGTTGCCTTTAGGGGCTTTGAAGCAGGCACCTCACCCAGAACCTGGTAAAGGAGACTAGGTTTAATTCAGTCTCCTTAGGCAGGGAAAGCTTAATACATTTCCTTTTGCATGCAATAATGTCACAAAAGGGTTAATGATGTTTCATGTCCCCCTCTTGAGAACATGTGGTCCAATGGCATTTTTGGAGTAGAGGGGTTATGTGGCTGTGAGATGAAACAGAGTGCTTTATATTAAGCAGAAGTTTTGGTTGCGAGAATATCTGGAAAAATACAGAGCAAGAAGGGTGTTATTATTTGGATAGAGTAGAAGTGCCTGGCCCAAGGCCTCTACCAAAGGCAACTGCCTGTGCACCATTTTTAAGTCCCTACTTGTTTCAGAAAACAAAACTTGTACACATTTTGAAAATAAACAAATTACACTAAAAATACCTGACTCAGTGTCATCAATTTCTCCTCCAAATGGGAGGCCCCAAAACTCTTAACAAAATGATAACAATAAATAAACTAACAGACAGTCTATGGTCTCTCTCCAACCATGTGTCAGCTACTTTTCAAAAAAGTAGCTGTCTTTTTAGGAGGCTTAAACAGAAAATATATAATTGCCTCTAGGTGTAACTTTCTATGTTTGGTTGCCCCATGTATTGAGTGTCTTCACGCAAATCAGATGAATGACACCTAAAGTCACAACCATCTTTAAAAGCTAGACAGCTTTTAAAGCATACTTTAAAAAAAAAATTCTTTCAAGTGTTTCTCAGAACTTTCTTTTTTAATTCCATTAGCTGCATCCCCTCCACTTTTATCTACAATTTCTTTTGTCTGTAAGAGTTAAGGTTTTTTTTTGTGCAGAGCCTGTTCAGCTCAAATCTGTATCAGTTTTCTTGCACTCATACAATTTTGTCTGCAGTCTGTTAATTATCTAATGATTTTTATATTCATTTATAAAAGATTCCTGTAGCTGTCATTAACTTCAGTTAGAGTAATGGATACTCAGAAGCTCTGAAAAACAGATTGTGAGTGACTTACTCAAGGTCACGAAGGAAGTCACTTCAGAAATTGGATTAAGGATCATATGCTCTCCTTTCTCCTACACCATTAGTTTTACCCCCCCCCCCCCCCCCCGAAAGGGATGTTGTGAAGAATTAAGTAGCATT